CTGGAGGAGCTGGAGGAAGTGTCTGGAGAGAGGGAAGTCTGGGCATCTTTGCTTAGACTGCTGCCCCCGTGACCCGGTTTCAGATAAGTGGAAGAAGATGGATGGATGGATGGATGGAATTGTATATGGTGTTCTACTTAGTAGGGTAATGAGGGGTTATTGCACAGGTTTAATCCACAACGCTATAATCCACAAAGAACAGCCGTGCATAGCTCTCCTGATTCTCCAAGTTGGACAGTACAGTGTGGAGGGCTGTGGCCAGTTTCTCAAAACACTTCATCGCCACTGGAATGAGTGCAACTGGCCGGTAGTCATTAAGGATGGTTATGTTGGGTTTCTCAGGCAGGGGAACTAGGATGGAGGACTTCAGGCAAGGTGGGGCAGTAGACTGGGCTAGAGACTGGTTGAAGATCCTGGGGAAGACTCAAGCCAGCTGGTCCGCACAGTCCTTCATCACACATCCAGGGATGCCGTCTGGTCCAGCAGCCTTCCTTGGGTTTACAGCCTGCAGCATGTGCTTCACCTCATGCTCCCCTACTGTGAGGCTGGGGCCGCTGTGGGCTGCAGGGTGAAATTTGGCAGTGTCTGGTTGCTGCCCCTCAAAGCGGGCAAAAAGAGGTTCAACTCCTCTGCCAACGAGGCATCCCCTTCAGCCGCACCAAGATTATTCCTGTGGTTGGTAAAATGCTGGACTCCCTGCCACACCTGCCTGCTGTTGTTTCTGTCCAGGTGGTCTTCAGTCCTCCTCCTGTGGTCCAATTTGGCCTTTCTGATGTCTTCTTCAGGTTAGCTGGGGCCACGCTGTAGAGAGCCCTGTCGCCTGTCCTGAAGGCAGTGCTCCTCTCTTTCAGTAGCCGCTTGACCTCCCATTTCATCCAGGGATTCTGGTTGGGGTAGACCCTGATGCGTTTGTCCACGGTAACAGTGTCTATGCGGTTCTTAATATAACACAGGACACTGTCTATGAACACCTCCAGGTCTGGATGTTCAAAAGTGTCCCAGTTGGTCCTATCAAAACAGTCCTGTAGCTGCTGAGAGGCACCATCAGGCCAAGTTTTTACAGTCCTTGTGATGGTAGGAGCAGTTTTCCTGAGGGGGGCATATGCAGGAATTAGAAACAGGGACAAGTGGTCAGACTGGCCAAGGTGTGGTATTGGTCAGGCCCTATAGCCTAGCTTGATATTTGAATAAACTGTGTCTAGTGTGTTAGCTCCTCTGGTAGCACACTTTACATGCTGGTCAAATTTCCAGAGTACTGTCTTTAAATCTGCATGATTGAATTCCCCTGCTAGGATGTGCACAGCATCAGGATATCTGCTCTGCTGACTGCTAATACTGCCATATAAATATCCGCTAGCTGAGTTAGCATTAGCATTGGGCGGTATGTACACATTTGTTATGAAGACCACATTGTACTCTCTTGGGAGGTACATGGGCCTGCATTTGACAGCCACATACTCCAAGTCTGGGGGGCAGTGACTGTCTACAGTCACTGCGTTCGTGCATTGACGTACAGAGCTAGAGTCATCATCATCTTCACCAACATCATTGCAAGGACAGAATTTTTGCTTTCGTGTTTCCCCCAGCATACTATACAGGCATTGCTAATTCATGTACTTTACTGCATTCTAAAATATTTGTAGGCAGTGCATGGGTTATATCCACAGATTTGTGCACTCACTCATGGTGTAAGATAATGCAGTGGAGAGCCCTTATAACAAAATGGAATGTGTGACCTTCCTGGCAGCAGATCCATCAGTGTGACCATGCTGCTACTTAGCTGCTTATGTAAGCAAGGGTAAATACATAAATCTATTTTAACTTTATAGATAGATGTAGAGTAGTAAATGTACTGTATTTATAAATGGTATTTAATAAATTGTGGCACATTCTGAGGTTCTGAAACTGACTTTTCCCATGACAATAAAACTGAGATGTTAAATTTCAACAAAAAAAGGTGCAAGCCAGTTTCTTTAACTCCATAAAACTGATAACTGGCTTTAAACCGAACTGCAGTAAATATGCCATTGGTATTCATGCATGTGAAGCTTCATGATTGCTTAGGGTGAGATAACATAGACTCTAATCCACAGCGTCCACAGTAAGAGTGAGACTTTCCCTGAACTTCTGTCATGGCGCCAACCAGGGTACACTAACTCAGAGAGTGACTGACTCACTCTATCATTTATCCATCCAAGACACACACACACACACACACACCGAAGGCAACCACCCTTTCCGGCAGTTGAAACAAGACCTGTTCGACAGCTGAATTGAGGGCTGGCAACAGGCGCAACAAGGGGGTAGAGGAATGAGAAGTTGGGCTGGAGAAAAATGAGTGCCCGTGGAGGGGGAGGAGATGTAGAGGAAAAGGCATGGAAAATAATGGACTGTATATCAAGAGGCTGCAACACCATCTAAGTAATATTATCCTAAAAACCAAGAGTCAGGTCATGGCTTCTTTTTAAAGGTAGTTCTTTATACTATGTATTGTTGATACAACTGATTTCAAATAGAGTTTTTCCTCTTAGTACACACGTTTTTAGTGAACTTCTTAGGCTATGGATTTCAGAACTCAAACTGACCAGAAATAAAGTTATCCAAAGATTATATTTCTGACTGTAACAAAAATTGGATCCTCCAATCACAGATGTAGTTTGACTAAAGCGGGCAAAGTGTTCTGCTTTCAGTGTCCACATAGTTTGCACCATTAATGCTCATTTACAGTTTTATTATGTTTAGATAAAAGTAACCTGGGGTGGAGTGGACAAAATCTGAATAATTGACACCTCAACAACTGGGGAAATCTTCAAAAATAGGTCCCATGTGAACTTTGAACTTTGATTGAAAATGCTGACAATGTGGTCAATAATGGGAAAATGGGGTTGAGGCAGAGTGGAGGGGTGGAGTAGAATGTAGAGGGAGTGCAGACTGTGGTGAATGAAGATAGAGGGAGGGCGGAAAGGAGGGACTGGGGTAGGAGTGGGTGTGGTAACTCTACAAATAGCTGTGCTCAGTGCCTGGGATTTCTTCACTTAGTTTCTCTCCCAGTTGCCCAGTGGGACGGTTGGGTCTCGACACCTCAAGCAGCTCCAGCAAAACCACAAGCCAGCTGAACATTCAACGATGAGCAAGTCGTACTCCTCAGCCCAGACCGGCTCCTCATACCGCCGCACTTTCGGTTCTGGTATTGGTTCATCCCCAATGTCCTCCCTCTTTTCCTCTCTAGGAGGAGGAGGCCGCGGCTCCTCAAGCCACATGTCAACCAGAGTCTATGAAGTCAAGAGCACTGGTATTCCCTCTTTTTCCAGCTACAGAGTGTCCTCTGGTGCTGGAGGAGCTGGGATTGGCTCCTCTTCAGCTGTACGCAGCTATGGCCTTGAGAAACTCGACTTTGACCTGGCCGATGCCACAAACCAGGACTTCATGAACACAAGGACCAATGAGAAGGCTGAGCTTCAGCACCTCAACGACCGCTTTGCCAGCTACATCGAGAAGGTGCGTTTTCTGGAGCAGCAGAATGCAGCGCTGACAGTGGAGATTGAGAAGCTGAGGGGTCGTGAGGGTCCAGGGCGTGTGGCTGATTTGTATGAGGAGGAAATGAGGGAGCTGAGGAGACAGATAGAGGCCATCTCCAACCAGCGTTCCCGAGTGGAGGTGGAGAGAGACAACCTGGCTGATGACCTGCAGAAACTTAAGATGAGGTAAGCTGAGGTAACTGGAATTGTACCATTTGTATGGATGAATGATGAAAAGGGATGTGATAGGTCAGGTTTTGAGTGCTTTAGAAATGGAATGTTATGTGACACTGATATGTTTTAAGAGTTCCCAGAAATCACAGCACTTTGGCAGGAGAGGCCAAGAGGCTGATGTTAACTCTTCCACAAAGGTAAACATCGAGTATTTAGTTCAGCGAGAGTCTCTGACACATGGTACTTCTATAGTCTGCTGGAACATCAAGTCAAGTCGGCTTAAAAGACACATTATTTACATAAATAACAAGTCAATATAAAAATATGAACAGATAAAAATGAAAATGTATGGGACCTAACCAGGTCAACAGCATATTAGCAGCAGAAGAATATAGTCACAAAAAACCCCCATCTGCCTACATCACGGGTTTCCAACCTTTTTGTCTTGTCATTATTTGAAGTGAAGTTATTGCTGCTACCTCCCACTAACACATCTATAAATTGTGAGCAGTTTAAACAAGTTCCCTTCCCATATCAATTCATTTGAATAATTTTCAGAAGCCTGGACAGGTAAAACTTTTTTTAAAATATTAGTTTTTTTTTTTTTTATGTGAGTGAAGCATTGCTGTACGTTAGAGAATGAGAAAAAAGAGGAGAAATAGAAATCAGCAGACCATGCAAGGTGGAGGCAGTTTTCCTCATCGGTGCAGTGGAAAAGTTTCTCTAAAAACACCAGCATGTGGCTTCTATGACAACTCATTGATTTCCAGAGGTGTTGCTTTTCTTCTAGAGAAAGAGGAACTAACAAAGGAGAGATTTGAGGATAGGTACAGTCTAATGAGTGTTCCAGTCCACCAACCTTTTTACAAAGGTGTTTTATAATTGAATCACAAGAGACACAGCAGAGGGAAATGAACAGCGAAAAAGACAGAGAGCGAGAGACTTGAAGGCTCATAGGAACAAAGTAGAAACGGATAGCAAGTGGTACAGCAGTCAGACACAGAGTAGACAGATGAATTTGAACAGATGAACAAACAAAGCTCACTGTGTTAACAGAGTGAGAAAAATTACATTTTAAAAAGACTACACTAAATACACATAGCTGTGTGTGTCTCAGAGAGAAAGAGAAAGGGAGAGAGAAAGAGTGAGCTGTGATGTGGGTGTTTCTCTGATTGTCTATTTGTAGCTACTAGGTCAGCACTATGACTTTACAGTTTCTGTCTCTGCAACAGCAGGCAACATCACTTAAATTTAAGTGTCTGCAGAACCTGCATACACACACACACACACACACACACACACAAACATGCATACACACACCTTCCAACTAACACTCACTCTACTTTTTCTTTATCAGCCCTTTTTAAATTGTCGCCTGCAGCACTGAGTGAAGCTTGCCAAAGCAGCTGCTGCTTCCACTAAGATCAAAATACACACAGAGATACCCCCTGCCTTGCAACAGTTACAATGCATGCACACACACACAGACACACACACACTCAGAGAATGATAGCAGAGTTTTTTAAGGAGAGCACCTGCAACTTAATCACATACTATAAAAACAAAATTATCTTACCAAAATCATTTTTTTACCACTAGATACTTTGATGCACTGAAGATTAAAATATATGTGCCACATATGCAAATGGAAACAAAGACAAGATACCGCAAGGAGAAAACAATTGATCGGAATACCACAAATAAAAAGGGTCCTGAAAATGTGCTCTGCAGTGGAACTGAAGCAGATGAACTATCTCTAAGGTCCTGTGGAGCAAGGACAGTCACAGTGCCACCCATCAGTGGTGCCTAAAATGAAAAAAGAAATTTATGACAGTATGTACATTTGATCAACTCACGTCTATTAAAAGTTTGCTCTTCATTGTATGTTTCACTTTTAAACCTACAAATCTGTTTAAATTAACATTAAACAAACTTCCTGACACCGTTGCAGTTTGCCAAGGTGTCAGTATTCACTACATGCATGGTTTTTAAAAACATCTTCCAGTTATCCAGGGTGCAGAGTGAAATGCTAATTCTGGAAACAGCACCAGTCAGGGGCATGCCTCTGTTCATTTCTCACCATGAACCTGACAGTGTGACAGCAGCTGTGCCACAGCTTTAGGGCTCAAAGAGCGAGCGCACAGCTATGGATGTGGGCACGGATGCAAATACCAGTTATTATATATCATTGTCTAGTTCTATTTTTGTAAAAAAAAAAAGCAGCTGAAAAGAGCAGAAGGATGTAGGAATGACGGGCGGTAACTGGTTCATCTGTCTGGTAGTTGGTCCCTGGGGAATAAGCCGTGCTCTCAACCACAGTTGTTGCATTTGTATTCACTTGTGTTTCAACTTTCCTTACTCTTTTTGCTCTTTTCCTCTTTGCTGCTCTCGCTCTCTCCAGACTGCAGGAGGAGATTCGCCAGAAGGAAGAGGCTGAGAACAACCTCTCTGCTTTCAGAGCTGTACGTCTTCTATTTCCACTCGTTTATTGCTCAATCTTTAGTCATTTTTTCCTCACAGGTTGAAGTAAAAAGGAAAGTTTTTGCTCAGTCTCAATCGCCTCCTTATGTTGCTGTCATTCGTATACTAGCACAACTTTCATCTCTCATCAGTCACTTTCTCCCTTTCAATTTCCATGGTTTGTTCCCAGGATGTAGACAATGCTACCCTGGCCAGGCTGGACCTGGAGAGGCGCATTGAGAGTCTCCAAGAGGAGATTGCTTTCCTCAAGAAGATCCATGAAGAGGTTTGTCGATCTGACTATACATTTTGTCTGTGTGGCCTGATCTGAGGCAATCCTAAAAGTATTTTGTCTATGTATTATGTGTGTCAGTAGAGTGGTGTCTACTGTATATTATAACAGCTGTGAATGAAGATATACTGTAATATCTGATGGAGCCTCTGTAGGCATACAGCTAGCTCTTCAAGAGGTCAAATATTTCACAGTTTAAAACATATTTACTCTGCACATTTGCACATTCTCACTCTTTCTCTCTAATCTTTTCCTCCCTCTACAATGTAGCTAGATGTACATTTAGTTCCAATGTAGAGCAAAAGCAGCAAGTGCAATAGAAAGAAAGGTCTGTGCACATTCACTTGCAGACATCAAAGGACATACTCAACCACACACTCGGATACATGTCGGCACACTTGACAACTACCTGTCATTTTGTCTTCCCTGCCTCAACTTTGACCTCTCAGAAATGCTGACCTGGTGACTGGTTGAGGAGAGCCTGGCAGCTGTTCTGTGTGTGTGTGTGTGTGTGTGTGCGTGTGTGCATTTCAACAGATGCACACCTATTTATATTTTTTGGTTAGACAGCTGAATAGCACTGAAGCTTACCAATATAAAACTTGTAGTTGTACAGGCCTAAATCAGACCTGTAGTATTTTGGATTTCAAATATTATTTTAATAATGTGCATCAATACACCACAGGGCAAATTTATAGATTGGCATTTTAGATTTTTGTTTTAATGTTTATACATAAATGTCACAGGTGTAGGATGTGTTATATGAATTCTATTGATTAGTCTTTCCTCTTCACAAGCTCCAGTTTCAAGTTCAATGTGCCGTGATTGTTTTTACATGATTAAAACAAACAAGACTTAGATGAAAACATTTTCTTTTTCTTTAAATCCTCACAAAATTCATTATGTTTTCTAAAATTCTTTATTCTCTCGTCACCTTGTAGGAGATCCGTGAGCTCCAGAGCCAGATGCAGGACACCCAGATACAGATCCAGATGGACATGTCCAAACCCGACCTGACTGCTGCCCTGAGGGACATCCGCATACAGTATGAGGCCATTGCTGCCAAGAACATTGGAGAGGCTGAAGAATGGTACAAATCTAAGGTATGGTGGAAGTACATACATCTAGACATGCAGGCACAGCCGCTGCACTGCTAAAATCACCCCCTCTCTCCTCAGGTGTCTGATCTGAACCAGGCTGTGAATAAGAACACTGATGCACTGCGTCAGGCCAAACAGGAGACAATGGAGTACAGACACCAGATCCAGTCCTACACCTGTGAAATTGACTCACTCAAGGGCACCGTGAGTATCGGCTTCAGCTTCTCACACTTCATTTAAATCAGTTTAGTTCCTTTTCTCCCCTTTCTGGTTTATACCATAGTTATTTTTTCTTTCTTTCTTAATAAGCATATAGTTTTTGTCAAGACATACAACTATGTCTCTGTTCTCTAGAACGAATCCTTGCTGCGCCAAATGAGAGACATGGAGGACCGTGTGGCGCGTGAGGCTGCTGGTTACCAGGATACTATCGCACGGCTGGAGGAAGACATTGCTAAGATGAAGGTAATTGCACAGCAATTTTACACAAACTCTTCACTCTGGGAATCCACCGTATTCTGTGTAATGAGAAGTAGCATTAAACTGATGCAGGATTTAGGATTTTATAAACATATAACAGGTTTTTGTCAAATAATCTTTGGTCTTCCATTAGTTTTTAACTTTGTTTTATGTTGGGTCTTTCTGTTTTGGTTTGCAGGATGACATGGCTCGCCACCTGAGGGAGTACCAAGACCTCCTCAATGTGAAGATGGCCCTGGATATTGAAATTGCTACCTACCGCAAGCTGCTGGAGGGAGAGGAGAGCAGGTGTGTGTGTGTGTGTGTACTGTTAAGCTTTGACAGTATTAGTCCCAAACTGTCTGTCTGAAGGCATAACCTTACTTTTTTTTTACTGAGATGTGTAATTTTTATTTAAGTACCCCTATTGGTGACTTTTGATTACGTTATGTGCTTGTGTTTTTTACAGGATCACTATACCTCTCCAGGCTGCTTATTCCTCCATTGGATTCAGAGGTACGAGATACAGTACACATCCTTCCTTTGACATATAAATGCCCATAAAATCCATTTTACATTCCAGAAGAGTCAGTGAGGGGACAAAAAGGGCTAATTATAGCTTGTGACTGTATATGGCAGGTGCTATTTTGAGTGTATTACATGGTGCATGTCTGCAGTGTCAAACTCTGACCACTGTGTGGTGATATATAACATGTCAAAACCCACCGTGGCTCTTTGATTCACAGAGGCCCTCATCAACAAGCCCCACATCAATAGTCAAACAGCTTAGCCTCTTCACTTGATTTGTTAACAGTCCAAACATGCAGTTAATCTCTATCAAAATTTCCCCATGCCCCACAGTAATTTGTAGCAATGAGCAATAATTAGAGAGGATTTATAAGACTATAATTTTACACTCTCAAGTGGCATTCATTTGCTCCACAAACAGTTTGATGGCTGTCCCCTTAATGTTTAAGACATCATCATATTGTTCAAAACTGACTAACCTTCTTAGACCAATACTAAACAAATAGCAGTCTTCAAACTAACTTTTTGTGTAACTGTAGCAAAGCTTGATGTATGAGTCTGTGAAACAGTGTAAGAACTGTATGAACGTGTTCTTGCAGAGACCAGTCCTGAGTCCCAACATCAGCGCCCGTCAGAGGTTCACTCTAAGAAGACTGTTCTTATCAAGACCGTGGAGACCCGCGATGGAGAGGTTTGTACACACACACACACACACACACACACACACACAACTGCAACCTACAGTTTATTTTCAACATGTACTTTGCATGTGGTTTGATGCACAGGCATCCCAGACTTAGTTATAATGGTTGTTTTGATTTGTTAATATATATTCTTATCCAGATGATGTATTCTATGAGCCAGGGTGCTAGTGCCCAGTGTGTAAGTCTGGTTTCAATATCCCCCCTACCTTTTAACATCTGTTCACTATGGGTTTCAGCAAACTACCAGATTTAAAAAGGAAATTACAGTGTGGCAAAAAGTGATCACTCTCCTGCTGCACCAACATTTTTAGTTTCTACAGTAACTGATGCCTGAAATCTTGTAGTTTGCATCCCTGTACAAACACGTTTGTGTAAGCTGCAACACTCCACGCTGACTTCCGTGCACAAGCGGCTTCACTGTCAATGGCTGCTGTTGCCCTTTCACTCCAAACAAATACCTGCACTTAAATTAGTGGTTAAAATCAAAAGCACTGGCATCAGCCTATTCACTGTTGATAGAAAACATGCACATACAGTATATTATCTGCAACACTCTGCAGACTTTAACATAGATAACAAATGGTTTTTACTTCTTTCATAAAAATTTATGATCTCTCTTTTTGCCCTCCACAGGTTGTCAGTGAGTCCACACAGCACCAGCAGGACGTCATGTAAACAAGAAGAGGCCACATAAGAAAAACTATATATTATAAAATACAAAAAAATAGTGTAAACATTTACATTTTCCTACAGCTACTATGAAAATTTAAAACCTGAGCCCATTTTTTTAGACTCAGAACACTGACGATTTCAGCTGATTTAAATGGCAACACAGAAGGATATAAGTGAATGCAGCCTGTATACACCTTTACACATAATAAACAGGACAAATGATGCATGGAGGTACAATACACTGCCTTTAGCCTAGTTTTAAATAAAGGGAATTCCAGAAATTTACATTTCATTTGTGTTTCTTTCAATCTCTCACAAATGCTGGAATTTGCCATATCTTGTCCCTAAAGGATGTCAAAGGCAAGAGTAGAGTTTCAGAATACAGTAACAACAATACTTTGTGTAACTGCATTGGCCCAGTACCTACAGTACAGGGAAGTTTGCAAGAAAGATCAATGGGCCTGAAGCACCATGGACAGCAGTAATATATTCATTGCCAGTCTTTCTGTGCAAATGTACAAGTGTATGACTTGAATGTGAAGGGCTTTTATTTCTGTAACTGATTAAAGAAAGTGAGTTGTTGGTATAAGATCTGAAATATGTCACGAACACAAACCATCTAATGAAAGAGGATCTCAGTCATGTTTAAAGTTTGGCCTCAGTTGCATGTGCTGGGTGTTTGATTGTACATATGTGTATGGGTAACAATGGTAGCCTGTGCTGCTTCACTTCCAAAAATCTCAAATAAACACATTCGCTATCACCATTTGTCACCTGAGAATCAGACTGCTTCTTCAGATTTATTTGTGTCTGCACACTGTGTCTTGATTTTCAGCTGTAGTCATTAGCATTCCTCAGATAGCACACATCCTTTTTCACTGGCTCCCTTATGAACAGTTTCTGCCTGCTGCATTTATCATCGGGTGTGTTAGGTTTCTAAGAGGATACTTCCAGCCAAGCATAACACTCTTCTGTCTGCATTTAATTCACCTTTATAAAGAAAATAAGAGCAGTGATTCTGTTGAAGTCATCAGTGACAGGACATGTCTTGGTGCAGGAAAAGGTGAACAAGGGCTTGTTAATCAGCTGGTCCCAGCTGTGCTTTGTTTCTAGATTAGCACGGCAGCAGGAGCTACAGTCTGTGCAGTTTGTTTCAGAAGTCACTGGACCGAAAATGTCAGTGGAGATAAAAAGCTGGGGTGGAGAAAGAGAAAGAAAGGAAATATACAGACAGTAAATGAGCATGCAAGAAAAAGGGTGAAACAGAGATGGCGGTACAGGGAAGAAAGAGAAACAGAGGAGACAAATGTAATGAAAAGGTTATTCAGTGATACATAGGAAAAGAAAAGAGGATTTAGAGAGAGATAATTAAGCACAACATAGAACAAAGCACAGAAAAAGTCATTTCACTGCTATTCTAGTAATTAGTGGAGCCATGTTGGTTAGAACTTTTTCTTCTCACAGTTTCTGTTAATAGCGACAGCTTCCCACAGTCCAAAGACATGCAGCTTAGGTTGATTGGCCCATAGGGGTGAGTGTGGGTGTCTGTCTGCATGTCAGCCCTGTGACAGACTGGAGACCTGTCCAGGATGTACCCTGACTCTTGCCCAATGAAGCTGGGATTGATTCTGGCCCTCTGTGACCCTCTTCAGGATAAGCTGTATAAATAATGGATGCATGTATATGGCCCAGTAAAAATTATTCAGCACTAAATAATTGGTATTTACCAGCTAACTTACTACATCTGCAATATCTGCTGATGTAGCCACCAGGTTAACTACTGGGATAAACCACCTAGCATCTGATTTTACTGTAGTATCTAGCTGGTTTCAGTGTCATTGTTTACTTCAAATACACCTTATTTTATTGTTCTCTGAACTGTGACTGTTATGTGCTGTTATGTCTTAGTGTGTGTGCATATAATTCTGAATATTTGGCATTTGTGCTCATGAATGAACCTTGCATATACAAATAATGGGTATGAATGTGCAGGACGATGAGAGACAACAACACCATTTGACTGTAGAATCACAATATATATATTTTAGGTCCATATAAATTCATGCGCAACAACAACAATAATAATAATAATAATCAAGTGATTTATACAAATTTAAACTTGGTGATAGGTACAAAAATGAATTGCTGTTGCTTCTTTACATGTAGAACAACTATTCACTGACAACTGCTGAAACATCATAGTCAAGGCTCAGTTTGTTTGTGGACTTTCAACATCACATGTTGAAACACCAGTATGAGAATGATCCAAGTGCATTCACCACCCAGCCTAGTGAGACCAACTGGACAAACAGGTCTCCTCCATTTGATGTGTAAGCATGAAAACAGAACCGAACATTTGCATGTTTCAAACTATTTACAGTTTGATATCCACAATAAAAGTGTTTCCCCAACACATGTATATTTAGCAGTGACAGAAAATCACAAAAAATAATAGGAATTAAAACAACAGTGTTAAAATACTTGTTCATTTTGTCCCTAAATTACAAGCAAGGCAAGATAGGGGCCAGTGTTTACAATTAACATTTTGTAAGTAAGGACGGTGATGATGTCACAAGAGCACTACAGTAAAACCATGTAAGAGGAGCAAAACAGAAATGAAGTGTAAACATCATGTAAAATAACACTTGACCAGTCACTACTGCAAAACATTATTGGAGTAACACTGATACAGCAGAACAGAAGATGACCTAGCATAACACGTCAAGAGGAGGGAAACGATTCAAATGACTTTTCAAAGCCCTTTACCTGGACGGTACAAACAGAAGACAAGATGAGACAAGAGAGGAGAAGAAGTGGAAACTGCTGGTCCCACTTTGGATCTCGACAACTGCACCTTTTCAATGGAACTAAATTGTTCGGTCACTTTTAAATATTCACAGTTTAAATGTGTTTTTAATGGCTGAAAAAAGTGCATCCAAGACACAAAATGACATTTGCTTCTGCACAGTCTAAGACTGAAGCATATCACACTTCAGGCTGACGTCCTAGTGCAGTTTTTACTTCTTTCAGTCAGTGTGGAAAGTGTTGTGTGTACCCTGAGACCAGCAAATTAAACAGGAATACTGAGATTTTTTTTCTTTTTTTTACAAGACAACACAGACACATTGGAAAAAGTTACACAAGGATTCTCATGCAGTAATGGGTTAAGGTGAAAAGCCAATCCCAGGTCTATCACACAAAGAACTGCAAAGCCTGCTAAACCCAAGCACCACCCTAGTATTTAATGGTACTTTAGTATTTTAGTACAGTAGAATTTTTTTAAATTTAAATCTACAAAAAGTACAAAAAACATATAATCCAAGTGGTCAGTTGGAATTTTAAAACATGTCCATTTTTCTATTTTTTGGTATTTTGTTTATGGATTTTTACAGTAAGATTGAGTTTCAAAACTGTAACACTGGAGCTGGTGTTTTATTGTGGAGAACAACAGCAACTTAATCCCAAAAAGATTCAACAAAAACAAAAATAGCTCGGCTGTACTGAAAATACTTCCTTTATAAAACCAACTCCCTCGCTTCTCTGGATGTTTAGTACAACAATAGAAATGTTTGCAAAAGTTTGCACATTTGAATTTAAAAGCAAACTACACACAATCATGCACACCCAAACCTGTATACACGTCAACTCCAAGTCTGGAAAAAAGGTCCAGTAGTAAACATTAGAGGCCACCATTTGCATCTTTTCACTTTCTCATCAGTCACATGGGATTATTTTAAGCCTCCTCATTTTCAGCATTTAACACTTCATTTGAAATAAAAGGTCAGTAGGCCAGTATATTTAAAAAAAAAAAAAAAAAGCACATTCAACAAACATTACAGTGAACCCCCCTCTCCAGTACTTGGTACACTCCATCTCTTGCCACTGGGCTCATGTGTCCACTCACACACACAAACACACTACATTTAGTATTTCCACTGGCATGTATTGTCCACTCTAAACTCTCAGATTTCATCTCAACTGTCAAATTCCTGGACGACCAGTATGAAACAGTACTAACTTTTCTTTGTGCCTTAACAACATTTCTAAACAGCAGATAAATCCCGTAAAGGTAGATTGTTTCTGGGATAAGAGAAGAAAAAGGGACATGAGAACACTTCAAAACATGTCAACAAATAGAATCACATACACTATCTAATAAAAATGGTTTAAATTCAGTGGATATAGGATGCTTTCACATAATTAAAAGGACTGGTGATCAAGGGCACAAGGAAAGTGATGAGATCTAAGCACGTTCTTCTTTGTAAATGGCAGCAATGTAGGCAACAAAATGTTGAGTGTTCATGGGACAAATAAAAATTGTCTTCGCATCAACTGCTTAATTAATCCAGCCGCTGTTCTGGATTTTGAAGCTGCAAAAAGATTGTGCTGCTATGTCTAAGTTCACAGACTGTCAGTAAACTTCATGAACACTTGCAGAGACTCATGCACAATGAGTCTCTGCCTGAGGCTGTCCCTGGTGACAATGTCGGTTTCAACGTCAAGAATGTGTCTGTCAAGGAAATCCGTCGTGGATATGTGGCTGGCGACAGCAAGAACGACCCACCCAAGGCTGCTGAAAGCTTCAATGCCCAGGTCATTATCCTGAACCACCCTGGCCAGATCAGTGAAGGTTATGCCCCAGCGCTGGACTGCCACACCTGTCACATTGCCTGCAAGTTCAGCGAGCTCAAGGAAAAAACTGACCGTCATTCTGGCAAGAAGCTTGAGGACAACCCCAAGTTTCTCAAGTCTGGAGATGCTGCCATTATCAAACTAGTTCCACAGAAGCCCATGGTTGTGCAGCCCTTTTCCAATTACCCTCCCCTTGGTCGTTTTGCTGTGCGTGACATGAGGCAGACTGTCCCTACACCCTGTACCATCTTCTCTGTGGCAGAGCTCTCTACTCAAGGTCTGGCTTATGCTGATTAAAACCCATCGCAAAAATTTTCGCAGGAAAAATCAGGGGGCAGCTGTGGCTCAGGAGGTAGAGCGGGTTGTTTCCTAACTGGAGGATTAGCTGTTCGATTCCCATCTTGTCCAGTCAACATGTTGAGGTGTCCTTGAGCAAGACACTGAACCCCCAGTTGCTCCTGGTGATGTCACCGGTGTGTGAATTTGGGAGTGCGACTGGGTGAATGGCCGAATAATGTGAACGCGCTTTGAGTGTGCTGTAAAGCATGGAATGGTGCTATACAAGTATAAGACCATTTTACTTGCTTCACACAGTGACCTTTCAGTAGAGAAGAGGGGCTGCCTTTCTGTTTCTGTGTTAGCTGTGTTGTTTTTCTTTTGTTTTTCGCTGAGTGCTCTTAATGGAATCCTTGAAGCAAATCTTTTCTTACCTTGACTTCATGAATGCCATGTGATGCATTTTTTCCCCACACCCTGCAATCCACTTATGGCTTGATGCAAGCAAAAAAAGTATTTAAATCAAATGTTCAGCAGAGCCAGTTTAAATAATTCCTCACAAGTCCAGTTTTTGCCAATGTTCTCCAGTTACAAAAGAACCAAACAGAGCATGTGATGATTCAGGATGTCTGAGATTTGACTACATTTCCTTCAGCAGCAATATGTCCTTGTCCCTTCTAAAAGAAAAGTCCCTGCTATTAAGTCTTGACATTCAAAAAGAACAAAACAAGACCAAACTGGCCAAATAGTTACAACTTTTATAAGGTCTGAGAGGAGAAAACCAGTGTGTTACTTATCAGCTTTGGGACATGCTGAGTTCCTGTTCAGATAGGCAGTTGATTAGGTTGGCACGGTAAGGTTAGGGTTTCTATCCCTAACTGTGACAAAGAGTTTTGAAGTAGCCTTATGTGACTGTGCAGTTGTGTGTATGCGGATTTGTTCATTGCACTGTCTCAGATGCGAACTGGGGGTCCAGTGGGGGCCGTGAGGGGCACTTGAGAGCCACAGTCATAATCGAGTTCAGCCATTCGGGAGCGGCTCATCATTCGACTGTGGGAGTACGCCCGTCTGTCAGTCTGTCTGTCCCTGAAACTTCTGATGTAGCTCTGTGGACAGACAAATTTCAGTGTACAGTTATAATGTAACGACAGTAAACTCCACAAGCAATAGTTGCAAAAACTTACACTCATATGCAACCACTGGTAAAGAGAACATTTAGTTTACAGTGGACATTCTAGCCAAGAGTTTGAGCTAGTGATCAATACCATTCTCATATCTGTCCATTCAATATGAAACCTGAGTCAGTGGAGAGTTAGCTTAGCTTACTACAATAGCTACGTATGTGCCAATTCAGGGGACACATCCTTCTAAGGCTGCATTTGAAGACCATTTGCGTCACAATGTTGCTGTCCCATTTTGAAAACTCTTTCAAATGCAGCCAAGAAATGTGTCCTTTACATCCTAGTAGATCCTTTAGATCTAGTAGATGCTTGACAGCTCAGCCTATCCCAAGATTCTTTTCGCACCAGCAAAGAGCAGAGCAGCTGTTAAGGTTGCCATAGGTGTCAGGAGAAATGCTTTGTAAAGAAGTGGTAAGGACAGGAACAGAAATTCTCTGTAGACAAGACCATCTCATTTTGGTTCAGCCTATGTTTCCACCTCTGGGGCATGCAACAGCAATGAGGACCATGGGCATTTTTCAATACCTAGCACACAACGTTTGGACTCCTGTACTTGGGAATTCAAACTTTAAGTACAAACCTCCAAGAAAGGGATGATGCACCACTCTCAATGTGCATTACTTTGATAAACTGACCACATATTCTCAATCTAAATGGTTAAATTTGAACAGCTTTGAGCCTGGCTCAAAGCCTGATAGCTGGCATGCAGTGCATTCTGGGAAACCTGGCTGCCCCAACAATAAAATGAGGAGGGCAAGAACACTTCTGTTTTTTTTAATGTGTGCTTTGCTGAATGCAGAGGAGGCTAGTTGTTTCCAGATTTTCCAAGCTTCCAGTCAAGCTAAGCTAACTGGCTGCTAAGTCCAGGTTCATACTGATCAAACTGATATTGGAGTGGTTTTATTTTCTCATCTACAGTAAATCTTGACAAAGAAAGCAAATAAGCATATTCTCAATACAAACACCCATTATTTCAAAAGGTGTTTTGCAAACAGGATGCATATTTCAAAAGAAAGCTACATACTTTTGTATGGCTGTTTGTCTTAAGGAAATTGGCACATGAAATAAGAAACACTAAAAATAGGTACTGCATCTTACTGGTGACAGTACATCTCCATCAAAGCGTCTTTTAGGGTTGGCTTTGCGATGGTAGCCAGGTTCAGTCTGAGGAGGAGGGACTTTCGGCGGCTGAGAGCTCTGGACTTGGTGATGTGGGTGGGACGCTGCTGGGTGGTGATACTGCTGGTGGTGGTGGTTGTGGTGATGAGTGTGGACCTTCTGTTTGTGGCTGCTCTTCTGGTTCTGTTTTTTTTTCTTCTTTTTGTTCTCCTTCTCCTTTTTTAGTTTCTCTTCCCGCTGCCGGATGCGCATGAGCTGGACCCTCCGTTGCTGTCGACTCAAAACCACTGGAGAGCGGCAGAACAGAGTTTTGATAATGTGTGGAAAGAAGAAGAGAAAGAGAATAATACATAATAATGAGGGTGTGAGAGGATGATAAAGAAAGCTTTCATTTGGTCAAGTCAAGAGGAAATTACATTTTCAAAAGCACTGAGACTGACAAGACAAACAAGAGAAATGCCCAATCACATGAGTTTTTTTTATATTTCTAAACAAGCTTTTAAACAGTGATGGTTTATTCCAAGTACAGGCTGCAAAAGGAAAGAGGAAAAAACACTCATGCCCATCTCCTCATTCCTCCTCACTCCTTCATTTTAGTCAGTCAGTAGGCAGATGGATCATTTCCCTCAGTCCATGTACTTGTACTGAGCTGCTCAATCTCCTGACATATTGTGAGTGGGTGAGTGTGTTTGTGTTATTTTCACACCCTCCTCAGCAAAGGATGTCCAAAATCCACCCTGTCTCACTGTCCACCGATTACCCATATGATTATTTTTGGGTATGTGTGTTTTTAGGCACTTTCATTCATTTGTTGAATATAAAGTGTATTGTGCACTGCTGTGGATCTGTTCCCTGCTCATCATGTAAGGTCAAAGTGCTGCCACAAATACAAAGACCCCACTGAACTTCATGAAGACGAGATGTACTGTATGCGTCACAGTTATAGTGTGTGTGGGTGGGTGGGTGTGTAAGTGTTAGAGGTCTATTGTTATTTCTTTGTGCGGGCGGACAGCTAACAAGGCACCATCTGCCAGGGAAACTGCTTAATGATACCCCCCTTTTCTTTTCCTCAGCTCACCCTCAGGCTCCCATGGCCACATGCTGCTGTGTTTGTGTGTGTGCGTGCTGTTTTACAGCTATTGTTGTGAGGTCTAATTTGAGATATAGACCTTGGGAATGAGCATATGTTAGTCAGTCCCCAGTTTGGTAAAAGGGTGTTTGAGAGTTTAGACTTTTGGAAAAAGGGAACAAGTATGCATCATATGTGTATCTGTACAAGCAAAAAAGAACAAGCTAATTTATTCCAGCCTTGTGTCCCGCATGCTTTTCAATCAACTGACAGAAAGATGAATTTCCTCTGTTGGATGCTCCACCTACCCATTGTGCCCCAGTTTATCACCCTTCCCCCTGTACACTTGCTCTCCTCCACACCATTCCCCACCCTCCTTTCTTTGTCAGTGCAGTGATTGTCACCATGAAAAGATGCTTCCAGCAGTTAAAGACAAACTCTGACCGGAGTTCACCTGCAAATTTTCATGATGGACTTAAATATATGTTTATTGAGTTTAATTGTTTATGTATGATTGTTAACGGTTAGAATGGCTGGAGTGTTGTCAGTACATACTGACCCAGTCTTTAAAGTGTAAATAAAGACTAAAGAGTTTTTACCTTCACCAAAGTGTCCATTCCCTTTCTTGTGGATAGTTTTGAGCCTACCCACACTTCCATCATGTCTCTGTCCCTTTCTACTGTAGATCTCTTTCCACCACACGTATTTACACATTTTGTAAATGTCTCTTTGTCCACATCCTCTGACTGGAAGCAGCCCACTGTTTAATCCCATTATTTGAGACTATGTGTGACTTCTGAGACACCATATAAATCTAGATGTCATGTGCCAGTGAAGATCAGATCTAAGTGTGTGTGTGTGGCCTTGTTTCTGTGTACTTGTGTGGACAGAAGACCGGGAGCACACTAGCATCACAGTGACCTGCTTCACTTGTATTTTACTGGAGGCTGTAAAGTAAGGGCAAGTGTCAGCTTTGGTCAAGGTTAAGGGTAAGCCAAGGAGTGGGCATGGTTAAGGTTAGGGCATGTCTCCCAGAAATGAATGTAAATGGTAAATGACAAAAACAAGGATGTTTGTGTGTGAGAGTTCAAATGAACGAGTTGTGTGTGTTTCAATGTTCCTATAGTTAATGTACGACTGAGTGAGTGAGTAAGTGAGAGACTAGTATATTTCTGTCCTTGTCTGTATGTATGAGCTGTGTGTTTTCTGTCTGTGTGTGAGATCTTGCCATCTGTGTTGTGGTTGTATTCAGAACAGATTAAAGCTGTTTCTGTCAGTAACACATTCAGATGACAACACTAGCGTTGATGTATTCAGACTGTCTGCGCACACACACGCACACGCACACACACAAAGCAGCATCACTCACCCTCTGTGTGAGAAAATCCTTCTGCAGTGACTTTCCACTGAATCAACACTCCAAGAAGGGCCAGGACAGGCCACACCCCTAAGATGACCCAAGTAAACCAGCACACTGGCTTCTTTGGTGCCACCTGCAAAGATTACAATTTCAGTTTCAGTTGAATAACTTAATCTCGATAATCAACAATCCACATTTTTATGAAATGATGACACCTTTCTTTAAACTCTCCTTCCAATTTTTGGTACGCCTTTTTGGAATGAAAGCATAGTGCATAATGAAATACCATTAAGGATATTAAACATCTAGGTGTTTCTGCACATAACACCATTTCTGGGAAACATTTAAACCAATTTCAATGTTAAACCCCAGGGGGCTTTCCAGTGTCTTCACGTAGATGTGTGTGGGTTTCTTAATACAGTTCATTGTCTTTAAAAATGGCCTGACAGGTATTTTGAATAAGAATTAAACAACTTTAGGACTCCACATACACAAATTACACACAAAACAGTGGTAAATTTATGAATACATATGCTAAAGGGATAATGGAGACAGTGAAGATTTATCCATACTGTATAACCACCCTTAATTCAGGCTGTGTTTTCCTAATTCACTCACATTTCAAATGTACAGACCTCCCTGTTCGTAGATAAACTATTGATCCCAGCTCCTTTTCTTAATTCCAACCTGTGAGAACACCCCATGCTTCTGGCAAAGTTGTGCAGTCACTTCAGTCGAGTAGTCAACAGTCAATATCAGAGAAAGGACAACACTCACAAAACATACCACAAGAAACACACAAACGAGCCTACCCTCAGTATCTCGTAGATGTAGTGTACCAAGGCGAACAGCTCTATAAAGTAATCCACAGTGACTGTGATGATGGCAGAGCCAAAGGTGGCAGTGGAGAAAGTGACAAAGCAGCGTTGCCACTGAAGAGTGAGGACAGCAAATAATGTTCCAGAACCCAGGAGAATACCCAGAGGAACCCAGACTGTTCTGGGATGATAGAACTCCTCCATGGCCTTAGAGAGAGAGAGAGACAGAGAGATTAATTTGGACAAATCATAAATATATTCATAATCACACACACTAACTTAACCTGCTCGCATTTGGACTGTGGGATGAAGCTAGAGCACCCTGAGGAAACCCATGCATGTCTATACAAACATGCAAACACACACAGACAGGTACCAGATTGCTCTATAGATAATCAAACCCGCACATGCTACTTTCTAGTGTGACCACAGTGTAGTAACAGTAAAATGCTGTTTGCTTGAATATGATCTTATTTGCATGAATATGAGAAAAGCTAGTTTCACCATTTCTTATAGGGAGCCTCTTATATTTTCTTTGGGATACTCTATGCAAATGAGCAGAAATCTAAAAAGTGAACAAACAAATGTGTCCCTTACCACCATTGAAGCCACTCCAACCAGCAGGCCAAGCAGCAGGCCCACCATAAAAAGTCCCACACTGCGAACCAGCATGGTCACCAGGCCACAGAGGGTCCCGATGCCTAGGCCGATGCCGACTGAGGCCTCTACACTCAGCTGAGTATCCATCACCCTTTCCTTGTAGCACAGCATGAAGATGACCACAGAGCCAAACATCAGGCCTGTGAGGAACAACACAGCCTTGAAGCATCGATAGCCTAGAGGAGAAATGGGAAACAACAAACCATTGTGAAGCATACAAACAGTGATGTACCTGTGCCTGTCTGATGAACAGCCAGACAGCTCTAAAATCATAAAATTAAAAATAAAAAGTTATGTATTTGGGACACTACTTTCTAATAAGACATGATAGATTTATAAGTTGTAGTTAAATGTTTCATTACTGTTAATAAAGCATCTTATGTGTGCCTGTAATAACCTTTGGTGAGTCAAGTAGCAGTATTTCTATATACAGAGAGGTATTTTTCCATTTTTGGGTGATGGATACAGATAAACATTTATAAAACTAGTTCAAAATGGGACAATGAAATGGTATAATCCCTGGTCTTCTTATTAAACAAATTAAAAGTTATTAAAAGTTAACATCTCCTTGGCCCTTGCCTCTGTGTCTATTAATGTTTGCAGGTCCATACATTTTTTATGGATCGCCCTTCTTTCTCTGACTGGACTGTGTCTTAGGGGGAGCCGACATCACACTGTTATGGGTGTGTAATCAGGCACCGCACAGCTGAGCCAAACAATACTCTTCATCTCATCTGACCTGCTGCATATGCTCCTCCCTTATCACCATACCTCATTCACCTGATAGATACACTTCTTTTCTTTATTCCTGTCCTGGTTTAGACATACGCTTCCTGGTTTTCAGTTGTTTTTCCCCCAGATTTCCCTATCATGCCCCTTTTCTGTTGGTTTATTCCATGTGTCGTTGCTCCCGTGCTCTTCTGTCAGATCATTGTATGGTTCTCTCCTGGACAAGACCCTGCTCCCTCTTACGTGAACAATGCTGTGACAGCTTCTTCCTCGTCTTTATGTGAATGCTACTTCCTTGTCTACCTGTGTGGTGGAATCCTCTTCGATCCTACAAGCCAGCCACCTCCTTCTTTGTCTCTCCATGAGTCCCACTTCCATGTCTTACCTGTGTGGCGAACCTGCATATAACCCAGTCAGCTCTTTCCTGGCCTCCCCCCAGTATGTGCTTTGCTTTTGCCTCGTCTCTGCAGCCTGCCTCTGCTTTACCTCTCCTGCACCCAGTAACCTGTCCTGTGTTCCACTCCAGGTGTGTGTCTGAGTACACTGGGTCCACTGCCCAGTTGTGACAGTTCCCCTCTACTCCTTTTCCTTCTTCAGTCACTGTCAATCAATGAATATATTTTGACATATCACAACACTCCCTGAATGCTCCGGCTCCACCTTCATTGTTTTTTCCTCAAGCCCATTCTACCTTCTCCTCTCCCTTCCTCATTCTTTTTCACTCCCCATTATTCCACAGCTCCACTCCTCTGCTTTTATCTCCTACCCCCACTTTTGTTCCTCATTGCTTCCCTTACTTCCCCCCAAGCCATCAAATCTGCTGTCCCATCTGTTAAATCTGCCTTTATTCAGCTTTTGTCTCTTTCCTCTTCCTCTCTCTTTTCCTTCCCCTCATCCATCTTGTTCCTAGAACATCAGTAACATTTCTGCTGCTAATTTAGATTTTTCTGAGTCAAATAAAGGAGACCTTGGAACCAAACCAAATTCTTCACTGGGAACATAAACTTTCCTTTGTGATAACCAGCAGAATTTTTTTTAATCTCTTGTATCGCTCTTTGTATTTTGTTTACATTGTTTTTTGTTCACCATTTCTCTACCAGTGGTTAGCAGCTCACAGCAAGGTCATCCTAGGTTTCACTCTGCCGGCTGACTGGGACCTTTGTGTGTGGCGGTTGCATGTCCTTCCTGTGCCTATGTGGGTTTTCTTATGTTTATTCCCACAATCCAAAAATATGCAGGTTAGGGTAATTGGTGATTCTAAACTGCCTGAGGGTATAAATGTGAGTGAATGCTTCTTTGTCTACAGTATGTTGACCTCGTGACAGACTGCTGATCCCTCTACTTCAGTGCAAGCTGGGATTGGCTTCAGCCCACCTGCAAACCTCAAAGATAAGCAGTTATAACTAATGGATAGAGGGAAATGTATCCATAATGACGTTTGCTTGATAGTGGGAAGTGCTTTATTATTCCAGGTTAACTGCACACCTTTCTACCTCCTTCTGTGGGTGACTGTATGCATGGCTCCTCTGTGTAATTTAGTTTCCAAACAGTTCTTGTTTGGAAAAAATCTTGTTTGCCAAAGATGTATCATGCAAATCATCTGTCTCTTGTTCAGTAAAGGTATAAATTGCATTAAAAAACCCAGTTACCATGCATTTGCTAAACCATCGTAATTCACTAAAAGACAAGATAAAAATCTCTACCTCTACTAGAGAACTGCTGCAAGTAAATAATTACACATGCCTGTGTGCTGATCCACATTGGTGCACAGAAATTAAATGTATCTTTGCCAAGCTGAATGCAATACATTTATATTAGAATTTTTATGCAGTTTACAACTAGAGCTACAGTTTTCAATCCTTTGCATTTTTGTTACAACACAAGCAATCTATAGAAACCCTGTACCAATTACAGTAGATCTCTTTCTCTCTAATTATTTATTGATTACCCTTGCTGTAATGACTTCACATCCAACCTCATTTGGATGAGTCCTTAATCCTTATGATGCAGTTAAATGCAATCCCTGGGCACAAATCAAAGCCTCAAGTAAGGACTTTGTGTCTTAACATATAAAGGAACCCATGCATACAATAAGGCCAGGCATTTGACAGCACACTATAGTAGAATTAAAACAGTATATAAGACAAAGGAGGTCCAGTGCCAGTTTGCCCTGGTACTTTTGGATTAACTGTAACATGCTGTGCTTCTTTTTACCAGCAGTGCTGAAACAAACTAAACAAGCAGCAGATATTAACATGGCAGGCAGTCCACTCTTTTATGGCAGAAGTGTTGGGAATGGTGTGGACAGTGGAACTTCGAAGCTTTCATTTAAGTCTAAACATACTGTAGGAGTCTGAAAGTGCAGACCATGTATTTACTGGACCATGATCTAGTCCAGCTTAGTGAAGTAAATAATATATGTTGTAGCAGTGGCACAGTAGCTGGGGTCTGTAGGAATGAGAGTTCAGTATTGACTCACACAGCCAGAAACAGGAGAACCACTCTGTACTGCTCTTAAATCAATAATATCATACACCAGCAGAGCAGAACCGACTGGAAATGACACAGAAATGATTAAGGAGTTCTATTATATAAAATAGCAGTTTATGCTTGCAAATATAAAATGAGTAGGTTTTAAATAATGAACAAAGCAATACACAGTAGGTAATAATTTCATGATAGGTATTGGTGAACGATGTACATGCATTTGACACCATTTACGTCAAGTTCAATGTTAACTTATGAAAGCAGTATAAATGTTACAGCAGAACAGAAAACGTGTTACTGTAAGTTTGTATAAAAATCACACAGAACTCTGTTGTGCTAGCAGTGGATCACCTACAGCATTACCGATGCTGGTGATTAGCTCTTCTCGGCAGGCAATGACGTGACCTGGACACCAGATTATGAAATTTTATGCAAATGTGATTAAAAATGATCTTTTGATGAACTAACACTCTTCAGTGTTTCAGGTTTAATGTGTAAGAATTGTTCAATATTTTAGAACCAATCCAGATATTAAGAGCACATGTCCGACTGTGGCTTACCAAAGAAACAGTAGATGATTCCAAAGAGGCAGCACATGGAGCACACCACTGAGGGCACGATCTCATACCTCCTTTCAATCTCTTGGTCACACTTCAGCCCCACCTCCGCCAACCCCAACAGCTGGTTGGTAGAAGTCATTGTGATGGCAGTGGAGGGGAGCAGAGGTGGCCAGAGGTGAGGGATAAACAGGGTCTACAGGGATGCCTGGATCAGTGGGCCTCACCCATGGAGAAGTATGTGTACCTGCAAACAGGTACAGCAAAATGATGAAAATGGGTTTAGAAGTGAGAAAGAATGAGTGAAAGAAAAAAGAGAGTGATTATTGATTGCTCCTTTTATGCACTCTGCTGTGAGTGCTGACAGAGCAGTAGGTATGCTCTATAATTTTGAAGAAAGAAACATCTCAACACAGCCGCTCTCACAACTATAGTACCACAGCAGATAAAATGACTGGAAAAACTGCAATTCAGCTACCATCATTCACTTGGATGTACGGTTAAAAAAAAAAAGTAGCAAAACATAGTTGCCAACAACAAGTATGTGACCAGCAGCAGAGGATCTGCAGCACACAAATAATAGTTGCCATGGAAAAATCAACCCTAATGCATTTGCATAAATTTGCATGCAGTGGAATTTGTGAAGTACTACTACACTGTGAGCTTTTTATATGTGGCACAAAACTCACTTGAATAAATACAAGCTGGAAATCTTTATATTGTAAGTATAATTAGAGCTGTGGAATAGACCACATTTCATTATCATCTGAACATCAGGACAAACATTGTGAAAGAGTACTAATGATTTGTCACCCAGGAAATGCTGAATATATTTGGTGCAACATATACAGTATATGTGGTAAACATGATTTAAACAGACATGACTAAGTGAACAAACTGCAGTGTTGTCAAGAAAAGCACTTAAATATGATAACTGAGTTTCAAGGGAGGGGAGCAGGGATGTTTGGTGGCTTTAAGCCTCTTCCTAATCTATTGAGATGTACTGTTACATAATGTGCTGCGCCTCCATACTGAAAACATTATTCATAATTGAAATCTTCCGTGTCTTTAGGATCACCAAATGTGTGGTGTCAGGTGCACACACTGCTTGGAATCCTCAATTCTTCGCTTTTCTTAAAGGCATTTTTGAGGACTCTGTGAACATCTTTGGGATTTTAATGTGCCTGAGGTTTCTGCTTTGGACCTTTTTGTGGTATTTCTGCCATCAGCTAATAAAAGCGAGCAAAGTCAGTTGCGTTACAACTGTTTTGTGTGACGATGGCTGAGAGCACACCTTTGCCCAGACAAAAAAGCAGATAAGACATGGGACTCCATTTTCCTGTCACCACAAAGCTGGTGAAGCTTCAAACGCAGTCTTTAAGCAGTTTTCTTTGTGAGCAAGCATATGTGTGTTTGCTATTTTCCTTCCATAAGTGAATGTGCTTAGGCTGAGGTGCGATGGGAGACACAGCTGAGACTGTGTTTATGCTCATTAGGCAGAGCAGTGCAATTTTGGCACTGAAATAGTGCTTATGATAAAACCTGGTCAGACCACCTTTTATTGCAAATGTGCATGTGGCAATTTTCATAATGATGGTGAAGACTAGGAAGCACAAGAACAGGCACCTGAATGTATTTTAATAGTCAGCCCAACTTAAAACTGCCTAAACCTTTAAATTGGCAGAATTTGATCTGCCAGAATTCACTGTAAATAATGTATCTGATTTCTGCAATATGTCTGATAATTTATAAATATTTTCAAATAAGATAAATACAAGTACATTGACTTTATGTTGGCAGGAAAATATAGTCCACAGATTTTGTTTTACTAAAAAGAAACAGTAACTTTTATCAGTACAGTAAACTCTGCAAGCACATTTAAATGCAACTGTGCACCAAAACAGTCACAGTGTAATGCATCTACAAGGGTCACAGATTCACCCACACACAAATCACACTCATTCAAACATCAAATCCCAGTAGTTTCATTTCGAGCTGAGACACAAATTAAAGACCTACAACGCTGATTAACTCACTCAGTGATGAACACGTTTAAGCACAAATGTCACTATTTCTACTTTGCATTATCATCAATTCATGTGCGACATCTTCTATGCAGTTTTGCTGGTTGTCCTCTGTCTCCATCATGATATTTTTTGCAAAGATACTTTCATTAATACAAAGGTGTGAGTATGTGCTCATGAGCTATTCACTGTCTTCACACTGACGTTTCCATTTCCACCGCTTCCAGTAGCTGTGTGAGTCCAAGCTTCCTCTGTCTGGACCTTTTCACATCACCTTTTTTATTCCTGTTTTAAGAAACTGACACTAGAGACTCAAACATACAGCACAGTACATTAGCCTAGTACTACCCCCATAACATATTGACCTTTTTGTGTCACCAACAGCCACCCAGTTTTGTGCCTTTGGGTTTCTCTGTCACTAATAAGGAATTAAAAGCATTAACTGAAATTAAATAAACTATAAGCTACTATTAAACATTTTTATGATGCAGTGATATTGATGCTCCCAGTGGGAGAAGCTGGGAGTGCATGATCCAGAGCTAAATGGAAGCTGATTAGCATTAATACAAACTTCAATGTCAACCATATTAGCTACATACCTGTATCGTATAGTTATGTCAAGTCAGTAATAACAAACGTAGGCAAACTAATGCTATAATGATGTGTAAAGTCTGAGCTGTTGAACTACAGAGTAGTAGTAGTACAGGGTAGGTACTTAATGACAGGAAAATCTCAGCTGTCTGGTTCACTGAGCAATAAACTGCAATAAGAATTTTTATAGCATATACTGGAAGCATTAAGAGAGTGTATATTTTGGCCAAGGCAGTACAGTTCCTTTAAGTTGTTATTCAGACTATGTAGCTTTTTTATTATGTGAAGTGAAAGTATTCACAGGAAAATAAGAATGTATATATCTTTTAAAAATTCTGCATTGGCACTAACACCCAGCTCAGCAGTAGGGGAGTTTCCTGTTCATAACTGGCTGTTTTTGAAAGACAGACTCCACTGGAGAAACAGACTATTAAGACTCTAGTTTATGTAGTTACACCACAGGCACTCAGGAAGAAGATCCAAATGTGAATGCCCAACAAGGGACACTATTGCACTGCCAAACCACTAACAACAAAGTGACAACGAATGATTTTTCTGCTTTTCAATCATTTTTAGGGGGAGATCACACTCCTTAGCCTCCCTGAAAAAGTCTATGCCAGGGTACTGGAGAGGAGAATTTGACCGATAGTCGAACCTCGGATTCAGGAGGAACAATGCGGACCTCCAGCGTGCACTGGGGCGGTTTGCAGCCGAGTGTGAAGCGGCTGGGATGAGAATCAGCACCTCCAAGTCCGAGGCCATGGTTCTCAGTCGGAAAAGGGTGGCTTGTTCCCTTCAGGTTGGTGGAGAGTTCCTGCCTCAAGTGGAGGAGTTCAAGTATCTTGGGGTCTTGTTCACGAGTGAGGGAAGGATGGAATGGGAGACTGACAGGCGGATCGGTGCAGCTTCTGCAGTAATGCGGTCGATGTACCGGTCCGTCGTGGTGGAGCTGGAGGAAGTGTCTGGAGAGAGGGAAGTCTGGGCATCTTTGCTTAGACTGCTGTCCCCGCGACCCGGTTCCGGATAAGCAGAGGAAAATGGATGGATGGAATCCTTTTTGAGCAACATCCATTCGAGACAACCAGAACCACAAAATACTTCTCAAGACATTAACTTTAGCCAGCTGTTAACTGTTATGTTTGCAGTGACCTGCTAAAAATCTGATGAAGAAGAACTCAAGCAGTGGTGGGCCAGGAAATGAAATCTTTAGAAGGTGTCTAAACCTGTCTCCGGCACTTTCTCTTGTTTTGCCCCTAAAATGCAACATTACAGACAAAAACAACATTTCAACAACAAAAAGTAATAAGTAAGAAAGCGGCTTGTTTACACATTAAAAGCTTGTTCATACCCCACAGTCAAGGAGATTGAGGGAGAGAGTGTTGCACAATTACTTATTTTCCAGTGTTTCTTAAACACAAGTCAGAATGAGAAAAAAGTAATTTAAGAAACCACAGATGTGATCAGTAATTAAATAATGTAGTTTGAGCACTTTGCACACAGAAGAAAAAATGTCATTAATCACTGTAACTAACCAAAAACTAAATGTTCTGTAAATGATGCTGAGTACCACGTCACATGCTGTGTCCCAGCCACTGTTTATTTGCATGATAGCTTTATCAAATACAACTATAGTAACAATAATAAGTCAAGCTGAATGCTGGTTTCACTGGGTACAGGTGTTGTCAGTTCATATTCTGCAGTGACCTGACACTATCTCTGGTAACTGCTACAGCCACAGAGCGATGGCATGACTAGAAAATAGCTCACCAGTAAGGCAAGAACAAGGAAAAGGAAAAGCAATAAATTACGCAACAATGTCGCATGCTGTCTGTTGCTATAACAACCAGCAGCAGTGCAAAGACCCTCAAATTCAGACAGGGGGACTCATCTCCATGGCAATGTGCACAATAAGAGCCAATCTGTGATGGTTTCTTTGACGCTCCTGGCAACAGACAGCCCTGACCTGTAACCTTATTCGGCTAGTGCCTCTTTACTATTCACCAACATTTTAGTGTAGCCACTGAAATGCTAGATCTACTAGGACAGATGTATCATGGCCTTACACAATCTCATCTGCAAAGCATGAAAAATTCATCAGTCATGCAATGTCCCTGGCCAGAAGAAAACAAAGAGCACAGCCAAAATCGGCTAAAGAAAGAACTATGTATCTCATGTTTACACAAAATAAACTACTTGATTCTTAATATTTTATTGCTTATTATTTCACAGGGGTTTAATTTACTTTATACATATGTTTTAAATGTGCCATCCCTGTCTGAGTCTGGGCCTGGCCACCCCATTCAAAATATTCTGGATCCACCCCTGGGAATATGGCGTCACTGGTCATCTACCTTGTCTTGTGGTTTTGTTGAGATGCTGAACAGACAACTCCAGTAGAAAGCATTACAAGCTCTCATTTAGGTGGTTCTTATTGTCATGGTAGACAGCACTTGCACTTTTATAAGACATACACTGATGTTGATACATATGATGAAACATATGCCCCCTAAAAATTGTTTTATGGTAGGATAACACAATCATGGAACATCTTAATAACCATATTGTAGCAGCGCAGGTCACAGTGTTTCCTCTGAACTGAACAAATTTAATTTTTAGTCAGCTCTACTTGAGA